AGGTAGCATAATTTCCCCGGAAAATATCACCACAAAATATCAAGTATGTTTTATTGACGTAAAAACTTAGTTTCAAATTTATTCACAGAAAATTCTTTAGGTTGGTAAATTCCAAACGTCCACAGTTCCACTTGAGGCTGAATATAAATGAAGCCACGTACAAGTTCAGCCAACCTCATATCTACCACCATACTATAGCCTACAAGGCTACAACTTCAAACGCCGGAGGCGTTTTCCAGCGAGACTCCTTTAATGGCGGGTCAAACAAGAAAGTGGATGATCCTACTGGCCACCATATGGATTCAGGCTTTTACAGGAACGAATTTCGATTTTTCAGCCTACTCGTCGGAGCTGAAGGCGGTGCTAAGGGTGTCACAGGTACAGCTGAACTATTTAGCCACCGCCTCCGACCTCGGGAAGGTGTTGGGGTGGTCATCGGGGCTGGCGTTGATGTACCTGCCCCTATGGGCAGTGATGTTCACGGCGGCGCTCATGGGATTTATCGGCTATGGCTTCCAATGGCTAGTTATCCAGAATATCATTGTCTTGCCATATTTCGTGGTCAGTTATTCATAATTCTGTCTTCGTTTATGCAAGTATAATTATTATTGTGCCTTCTCTTTTCTCTGCGACTAAGAACGCGAATGACTATGTTTAAAATCAGATTTTTAGTATATTTTGATAAAAGTAGATAAAATAACTAGTTGGAAAGTTGTGGGTCTGATGAAATATACCATTAAAATTAAAATTTTATGTAAAAAAAATAATTGAGTACTAGGTGTCGATCAATATTATAATGTGGAACGTGTGACCTGACCCAAAAAAGAATGGTGGGTGTGGCTGAAAGTCCTATGCAGTGGGAATGGGGATTAAAAAATTATCTACTACCACTTAATTGGAAGTTTTGATTATTCCGTGGTCAATTTATAACCTTTAGTTCAAAATGTACACCTCTAGTGAGGTTTATGACAACTTTAAAAGTCAAAAGGTAGATTTTTTTTATTTTTTTTTTCTCTTTTAATTTTATTTTAATTTCTTTTTTGGGGAAAAATATCGAAAGTCAAGTATGTAAAATGCAATTTTCAACATTTAACAAAATGAGGTCAACAAAATTAGGTGAACTCATTTTTCTAGAATTAACATCTGTAAAAAAAAAAAAAAAAAAAAATTGAGAATTTGTGGCTAGATACTGACGTACTCAAAGTTATATAAAGGGATTCATCGGTACAAAATTACTTTTATTAACTACTAAATATGTCAATAAATAAGTTAATTTTTTATTCAAGTATTCAAGATTTTTTTATTTTATTTTAAAGGGTTTTTAGCTAATTTCCACTGGAACCTCACTATTTCCAAACTTTATTTCATAGCACTATCACTCTTGATTTTAGGATTATTTTTTCAATGTTGTATCATGAAATTTGACATTCATTGTGTATCTTGTCCAGGTAGTAATGCTTCATTTTTAGATACAATGTTGGTGTTACAAGTATTTTGGATTGGATTGGACCGGTCGTCACATAGTCTAATGAAGACAAGTATGAATAATTTATATTGTTAATCAATGACAAGTATACCGCATTGAATTGAATTGAATTTGGTATCAAAACAGACATCGTTTAGTTTTTTTTTTTTTTCATCTTATCTAGTCTAACATACTGTCACTAACAGTGCGAGTCGACATGGCACTCTGGCCGATTAGGTCCTCTTTTTATTTCTTTTTGATAAATTTCTTCAATATATCATGTAATATTGTTCCATATGAACTTGTTGCAATTCATGGGGACCAATTTTGGATCTGGTACTTATGTTTGAGATGTCATATTGCAGGTATTTTTACTTTGTTTGTTGGCTGGATGCAGCGTCTGCTGGTTCAATACTGTGTGTTTTATTCTGTGCATAAAGAATTTCCCTAGTAATCAACCCCTTGCTCTTTCTCTCACAGTCAGTTTCAATGGCTTGAGTGCAGCATTTTACAACCTTGCTGCAAAATCAGTTAAACCTTCATCAACCACATTGTATCTTCTTCTCAACTCTTTAATTCCGCTCTTGACATCTGTCGCAGCCCTGTTCCCAATCCTTTTCCAACCCCCGGTGGATGTTCTTTCATCTGATGCTGTTAAACGCGATCAATTTATATTCATTGTGTTAAATTTGTGGGCCGTTGTGACGGGATTCTACCTTCTCTTCCTCCATTCGTTAAACGCATCAACAGCTCGTTTTCTCTTTGCTGGTGCCATGTTTCTACTTATCCTCCCTTTTGGTATCCCCGGTGTTATCTATGCTAGAGATTGGTTCCATCACAAGATTTACTCACGCTTCGAATTTCAAGGCTCAGGTTTTATTCTTGTTGATGCTGATGATCTTGAATTACATAAAGAGCTCCTTAGTCAACAGAATAATGCAGACGTTAGGCCAGTTCAAGTAATATCTAGACAAAACACGGGAAGTAGTGAAGGGTGTTCGTGTGAGACTGCAATGAAGAAGGATTGTCTCCTGGTGCTCGGGGAAGAGCACAAGGCACGAATGCTCCTTGGCAGGTTGGATTTTTGGCTATACTATATTGCTTATCTATGTGGAGGCACAATTGGGCTTGTGTACAGTAATAATCTCGGGCAGATAGCTCAGTCACTTGGATATTATTCAATGACTTCAAGGCTCATTACAACATATTCGTCGTTCTCCTTCTTTGGCCGCTTGCTTTCAGCTGCACCGGACTTCATTCGAACGTAAGTGAATAGACTAAAATTATGCCTTGTATTGACAACATTAAGCAAATTTGGAACCAGAAAACAGAATTCTTTATAAGTCCTTAATTTCATTTCTACTGAAAATAGATAAAATGGACGTGGTTTTGGTTATTTCTTTGTTTATTATTGCTCTCAGAAGTAAGGATTAAGGCTTAACCCATAATATATAACGCGAGTATACTTTGTCTACATGTGCAGGAAGCTATACTTTGCGCGGACGGGGTGGCTAGCCATAGCTCTTCTGCCAATGCCAATGGCCTATTTCTTGCTCGCTGCCAATAGTAGCGAGGCAGCAGTCCAGGCAGGCACAGCATTGATAGGACTAACCTCGGGATTCATATTTGCTGCTGCAGTTTCAGTAACATCTGAGCTTTTCGGTCCCAATAGTGTGGGCGTAAACCACAATATTCTCATCACAAATATCCCTATTGGATCGCTTACCTATGGTGTTCTCTCTGCTGTTGTTTACGATTCCAACGAGATGTTTGGTTTAGGCCTAATGGCTGATTCAGTGGTGTGCATGGGAAGAAAATGCTATGGCTTGACCTTTGTGTTGTGGGGATGCATTTCTATCCTGGGATTAGCCTCAAGTTTGCTGCTATTCTTAAGAACCAGGCCTGCTTATTATCAGTTTGAACAAAACAGAAGATCAACACTATTGTAATGACACTAACATACAGTGTGATCACAAAATGATTGAAATTCCCCCCTAATGAAATTGTAAAGATGAGAGCATTTACTAGGTTCTTTTTTTTTTTAGCGCAGACATTTAACTTTTTGTTAGATAGATAGAGAATACAAGCAACTTTTTGTTGAAATCACTATTACTTGAATATTGCAATTAGTCGTATTAGTACTTTTAATCTAATCCACAACTTTCTCCGTCTTGGAGTGGAGCAAGTGTCACCACTCTTACTACTTGTGGTCGAGCTCACTAACTAGTCTTGTTTGACAAATATCTAGTATTTATTCACATTATGCTTATAGAAGACAACATAATTCCACGTCAACACACTTTATATATCTTTTCTTTTCTTTAGGGTACATGGATTTGTATCTATTTTTTATTTTTTCGATGGAAGTTTGTTTCTAATCTTATAGGGATAATTAATTTCTTTTAATGTGCAAAAATGTGCATTCCAATTAGGGTCATACAAATGAAAAATTATAATTAAATTTAAAAAACTCCAATGGGAATTAAATATATATAAATTGTAAAATGTGATTGCTTGAATTGATAGAAAGATGGAGAATCAAACTTGAATTCGCATGTGTAGTTGGCTGGTTTATTAAGCCATGGCCTATGCACGAGGCACGTGAAATATGTCCTCATAGGCTCATAGCACGAAATTTGGCACAATTCACTGATGAAAATTGGACCAACTTTCGGTATTGGCAAAAACGTTATCGACTTGTAAAGAAGAGATGTGCTCTTAAGACCAAAAAAATGTAAGCCTTATGGCCGAGTGAAGTGGGGTTCAAAACTAGCCGATATAATTGTTACAAGTACTTAGCTAGAATTCATCTTTAAAAATTTAACTTATAAAGAGAAGGTGTTCAATGTACTCGTAAGTTTAAAAGCAATCCTACTACGATTGATACGTGAGTCAAAAGTAGTGTTACATAATATGGTCGAAGTAAAAGAAAACCAATCTTGTAATCTAATTGATGTAAATTTATTGAGTTATATTCCGACAAATTACAAATATATAGGGAGAAGTGAAAAAAAAAAACCTCAATCTTCTTGTGGGTACATACAAAAAGTTTCATTTTTTATGCAAAGGAACAATCTTTCATATGCCAATGCCATTTTTCGTGCAGTAAACATGGAAGCTGCATATTCCCTGCATGCTTTTCCTCTCTGCAATAGCCTGTCCGATCCCTCAGATACAACCAATTCCAATGCCTCGGACAATGATTCCACATTAGGCGAAAACATGATACCAAATTCATCCTTAACCACAATTGTTCCTTTAATACTAGGAAATCTTGATGCCATAACTGGTTTTCCACTCATCATAGCCTCCATTAGTGTCAGATCAAGCCCTTGTGGCCTAAGCGTCGGATTAACAAAAATGTCGATTGCATTGTAGAAAGCACGCAATTCGGATGGACTCATCGATCCAAGAACAATGGATTGAGGCCCTAAATCTTTGTACCTTTGTTGCCATGGACCGGAACCTGCCACGATTAGGTAGACATTGGGGTATTTTAGCTTGAGTTTCGAAAAGGCCTCGTGTAAAAGGGAATGGCCTTTGTCCTTCACTAGTCTTCCTGCAACACCTAGAACTATACTAGCATTTTGTGGGATCCCAATTTTGGATCTGAATCCTTGGCCTAATCTTAAATCTTGGCAAAAATCATCCCCATCGACTCCATTGATGATCACATGGACATGTTTAGGGGGGATTTGGTAAACATCCCTTAACATTTCGCCACAACTGTCACTTATAGCCACATGGTGCGCATAATTTCTGAAAAATCGAATTTCTTTTAAGACTTTTGGGATTACTCCTTGTAGGCTGTTGTTGAAGGTAGGGGACACGGGTTCATTTGGTCGACGTGCCAAGTCTTGGTAGATACTTGATTGCACACTCTCTAGCGCAATCCCGTGCCATGAAACCACGAGATTAGGTAGATTTCGAGCCAACCAAAATGGGAGAGCAACACTTTCTGAATGAATTACATCAAAAGGTTCGTGTTGGTTTTCTTCTTGAAATTGTTCCCATGCCTTGTTGTATCTCCATTTGCCCGGTTCGCCCTCATGACAGTGTATTATAGGTGATGATGAACCATGACTTGTTTGAGAATGAATTTGCTCCTGGGAATTGGTTGGAAGAGTATCACCTAGAGTGGGTGAAGTGAAGACATGCACTTGATGTCCCCTTCGTGCTAGAGCTGTGTGCAGAGTATGCGCGTGGCGTTCCATGCCACCGGGGGTGGTGCTTGTAGGCCATTTCCTAGAGAAGACCGCAATTTTTAGGCTCCTTAACGGTGGCTCTTCATCGATGAATTTCAGATGATTCCACGCGAATTCTGCATTCCGAAGATCTCCCGACCATGCCTTATTGTTAGATGAAAACGTACAAATCGACGTTGATGGGGTATGAAGGAGAAGAAGAGCTGGAATTGTGAACACAATAATGAAGAAGAGGGTGATGGCAAGGTTGGATTGAAGGTTGAATAATGGTTTCTTGGGCTTGTTGTTCATAGCCATACTTTCTTGGATGTTTGGGGTGAAATGTTGTGTGAAATGGTTGTGTTTTGGAGTTTATTTTCATTTGAAATGTTAAGGAAAGTGGAAGGCTCTTTTCGTGGGGAAGTTAGGCACGCATTTAAGCAAAGTGCTTTGGCTGGAAATTTGGCGTTAAATATAATATTTTAAGTGAAATTCCAATATTTAGCTGACAGCTAAAAGGTGGAGGCTTGATTAAGATTGACTCATTACATTGAAAATGTCCAAAAAGTCAAACCATTATCGTTGGCCAAAGTGGAAGCATGCACTTCAATGTGCAATTTTGACCAATGAGAGTTGCACTAACTGTT